CGAGAACCTCCGGCAGATCATTTGGAAGAAGCAACACCTCTTAATCGGCAAAGGGAACGGCCTGTCTCCGGCGGCCAGGAACGTCGTGTGTGACATTGATGTCGGGAACACAAAACCGATCGCGTCGGGATCCCGGAAAGTACCCACGCAATTACGAGAAAAAGTCGCAGGTATAATCAAGGGCTCTGGCCGCCGAGATCATCCGACACTCGACATCGCCATGGGCCTCACCGACCGTGATTGTTCGCAAGAGTAACGGCGTGGATATCAGGTTGTGCATCGATTATAAGCTGGTAAACAGCCTCACGAGGTTGATGGTCTACCCTATGCCCCTGATCAGCGATCTGCTAGAGGATCTTGATAAAGCACTATGGTATTGCTCGCTGGATATGGCCAGTGACTTCTGGGTCGTGCCCAGGACGGATCGTGCCCGCGGGATTTCAGCATTTATCACCCTGTTCGGATTATTCGAATGGAGTCGCATACCTTTTGGCCTGAAAAATGCCCCGCATGTTTATCAACGCCTCGTAGACAACGCTGTATGAATTTCTGAAAATCCCGCGATCAAGCGACGTCGGGAATACAACGGACGTGTTGCAGACAGGGATCGCGGACAATCCTGATCGTGACTCAGCGTTGGGACGAAGATCACACATTGACGACATCATGATCGCACCGGAATCGTGGGATCAAATGTGTCAAAGGGTGGAATATCTGTTGGAGGCTTGTGATAAGTGGAATTTATCGAACAGTGTGACAAAGAGCTTCTAGGGAATGGATAAGGTAGGATACCTGGGGCACCGAGTGTCGCTCCAAGGTCTAGAGGCAAACCCGAAAGATCTGAAATCTCTGACCGATCTGCCATTCCCCGGATCGCTTCGATCCATGCAATCGTTCCTGGGGAATCTGAATTACTACAGCCGATTTATTGAGGACTACGCTATATACGCCTCCGTGCTATATGAGCTACGCGAGGTGGCATTTGCAGAACTGGAGAAACGATCGGATCTGAGGAAGATCATGGACCAGAACGACTCGATTGCACGGGATAACGACTCACCTGAACTCCAGCATTCAGATGAGATGTGGGTCAGGGCTCATAAGGCTTTCATCGCCCTGAAGACCAAGATCGCGACGACGCCAATTCTCCACCACTTCGACGAGACGAGAACGCCGGCAGTGATTGTATATGCAAGTGATTGGGCGATTCCGCTTCGTTGATGCAAGAACACGACGGGATCTACCATCCTGTTGCGTTCGCCAACCGCACGTTAAAGACGAAAGAGCTGAACTACAATGTGACGGAAAAGGAAGTGTTGGCGTTGCTGATGTGGTGGAGTGCCTCGGAAATGGTGTGATGGAGTGCAGCGAAAGGTGTGGCAGCCCGATGTGGCAGTTGGCCAGCAACGCGGGGCGCGAGTGACGGGAAAAGACCAGAGTGATTGACAGAAAATCTGATCCGGAGTCGAATCAGACGGTCACAAAATGGCGTAGTTCACTATAGTGACCCCGGTCTCGAGACCGGGTTGACCCGTGACACGACCCGGTCCAAAACCCGGACCGACCCGTGCCAGCCCGTGACGCGAGCCCGTGCTAGCCCATCCGAGCTCGGTTCATAACTCAGATCGAGGTACTGCACGGATTAGGGTTGCACTTAGGTATAATGCGGTAGGTAAATCATGCAGGAAGATAGCCAGTGGATATGATGGCTAGGATAGGATCAGTCTCCAAAATTTTTGGTCTTACATAAGTCTAAGTCTTCTTCACGCTTCTACGCCTGAAGGCCTTCCTACGCT